ACTTTTTTTCATACATATACAAAACATTTTTGCATCTTGCATTTTTATTCCATTTTTATTTATTTAATTATTGTACCTTAATTAAATTGTATAAATTCAAATTGATGTAATAGTTTTAGGTTTACATTACTTGTCAATATCCCCATTTGAGCATTTGTACCCCCTTCCCATATTTGGTTTTGTAATAGCTTAGTAAATTTATTTTCGCGCTTTATTGCTTTCTAATGATAACATGTTAGAATTAGGGTTTGTATGCGAAAAACGACAAAAAATAGTTATGACCTAATCTCAAGATAAACAAGCATGAAAATGGACACACAAATCACACTTGCACCCCCTAGGGTACTCCACTTGTTGCCTTTCAAAATGGGCCATATTGCATGTTAGGTCTCTTTGGGCAAAACAAACAAATTGAATGATCATAGTCCCTCGATAACATTTTTCAAAACAAACAAAAACAAATGATCAAGTCCCTTAAAGAAAATGCCCAAAGATACTTGGCACCATTGCAATTATGGTCTAAACGATGACCCACGCCCGTCCCTTTCACATCCTAAACATAAGATTGTCCACCAAATATAATGGTGGAACAAACTTGTTCAAAGGGTTAAAACATGGCAATAATCTTTTGAGAAATTTAGGAGTAGATAACCTCTTAGTTACTTGAATCAATCTTGCAAACTAAAACACTTGCCTATTTCAAAAAACACACATCACTACACTTTCAAAATAACTTTCAAAAACAAATGAAAACCTTTTCAAAAGACGTACATCTTTGTATACATCCCCACATGGATCATTACAAAGGTTGCCACCACATTGGCCTCTTTTCAAAACATTTTCAAACCCACACACTCAAGCACCATTTAAAACAATTGAAAACAAAAAGGCAAGTGATCTAAGCAAGTAACTAAGAGCCCATGGATAACCATGGATAGAAAGGATGCTAATACCTTCCCTTTCTATAATCTACTCCCCGAACCTAAGAAAACATCTCAAAAGGTTTTTGCTGTGCTTTTTAACCTTTCCTTAGGATAAAATAAAAAGTCGGTGGCGACTCTTGCTCAACCGAAACATTTGCGAATACAAACACAAAACACTAGTCAGTTCTCCCACCGTATCACAGTCAATAACATCGACTTCAGGATGGTTGTCCTCGTCAGATTTATCCTCTTCTTCAAAGTCTTGAGAAGGATCTACCACCTGAGATTGATCTGGTTGTTATAATAAAATATACAGGTCAATCTCATCGATCCCAGATTGTTCATGAGTTCGAAACATGTTTCGAACATCATCATCATCGCGCACCTTAAGTTGATAAAATTTGACTTGGTTGTTGTCAAATAGAAATGGGGACTTGTAAAGAATTTGGTAAACTGGACCACACTGCAATTTGGATTCTACTCTAACTTTAAGCGTGCAAAACTTGATTTCTTGTTTATCTGAAAGCGGATAAAATCAATATTACAAAAATTAAAACCTAAGTTATCGCAGTTGAACGTCTCACCGTTAATATGGGAAACAATAGTATAATTTTGTGAATGATCCATGTTGTTGAGGTTTTTTGTGAGTTATGGATGTATACTAGTAATGTAACCTACACAGACGATTAAATAGACTGATATTTTGCATGCATGCGCCACCCTAGATGGCTAATCCTCCTATTTTCTCATACTTGCGCCATCCTAGGTGGCTTATCCTCCTCTTTATGCATGCATGCGCCACCTAGGGTGGCTTATCCTCCTCTTTTTGCATGCATGCGCCACCTAGGGTGGTTTATCATTGAACAACAAAACTTGCACGCATGTCATCTGATCCCTGCCACACTGCAGGTTTGCATGCATGCAAAAAGCAAGAAGCCATGTTGAATGGCGCCTATGTACAACAAAGAGAGCATGTGCCACCTAGTGTGGCGCCTATGTGCAATAAGGAAGAGCATGTGTCACCTAGTGTGGCGCCTATGTGTATAAGTTGCATGCAAAGTATTCTTCAAGATTTTCCTATAAATACATGTAACATTCACCCTATATTTTCATCACAATCATAACTCATACACTATTTCTTTCTTGAAGTCTCAACAACAACAACAAAAGAGTAATCAAGAAAAAATATCTCTCTTGACCATGGGTGATCAACATAGAGGAACTCCGAACAACATTGAAACCTTTGTAAGTGTATTTTCCTCAATACCTATTTTTTGTTCCTTAATTCTTATGATTGTTATATGTAAATCTTGTATTTCTTATACGTAATTCGTGTTTTTGATAGGATGTTAAAATATTTCGTTATCGTGTCCATGAGTATGTCCCTTACGACGTTTAAATTGAACCTTACTTATGACATGCCGGTTTTGGTCTGTTACTCAACATAGTCAATTACCATGTTGACTAAAAATTATTCTCGCATTAGTGGAGAGATGGAGACCCGAAACTCACACCTTTCATCTTCCATGTGGTGAATGTACAATCACACTATAGGACGTGTACATGTTATTCGGTCTACCGGTCGACGGTAAGGCTGTCAACGGTCGACTCAACCAAGACAACGCCATATGCGAGGAATTTTTGAGAGTCTCTTTATTTGAACAAGGATCAAGAGGCCAAGGTATTAATCTCCGTCTTCTTAGAGAATATCATAATAGTCTCGTAATAACCGAAAACTCTACCGAGCAAGAAAAAATTATGAAAGCTCGGTGTTACATAATGATATTATTTGGCCATTTTTTATTTCCTGAAACAACGAGTAATACTCTTAATATCATGTATTTACCCTTGTTAAGACAATTTGATAAAATAAACACATATAGTTGGGGTTCAGCTGTTTTGACCCATCTGTATAGTTCCTCGTGTAAAAATGCATCGAACGGTAGTTGTTCTTTCTATTCTTGCGCCTTTTTGCTCCAGACATGGTGCTGGTCGAGAATGCCGACACTCGCCCCCCACAACACAAGGCCATTCGTCTTCCCCTTTGCTACAAAGTAAGATTACAAAACCATAAATTTTACATATTATATACTGAGACATGTAGTGTATTAATTTATTACCCATTTTTTCTATATAGGTGGTCTGTTCCTGGGATGAATTACAACAAATCCCCTAGAAACGCAATAGTAGTCTACCGAAATCTTATTGATCATGTTGGACCCAAAGAAGTATTAAACTTACATATTTTATACAACACATTCAATATTTTAATTAAGTTTAATATTTTATATAACTTTTTTTACTCTACAGTTTGTATGGAGGCCGTATAAGGATCTCGACCATGAGATTAACCCTCCTGATGCTGAAGTCTGGACTGCAAAAACATCACTCATCAGGTTCACTACTGTGGAGATGCACCACAGTGATCGTGTGAAGCTACAATTTGGCATGCAACAAGGTATCCCCGACCCCCCCCCCCCCCCCCCCCCAACATGTTTGGGCCAATGGCGTCTACTCAGAGTTGACGACCAGTGGGGATTTAACGATTTGAGAGACTTTGCTAAAAATCAATGTCGTCAATGGAGGCATAGACGTGAATTGGTCCTAAGGGAGCCGATCTTGCAAGATGACTTAAAACCGACGCTCCAATATTTGAGATGGTACACATCGGTTTCAATAAATTTGTTTCTATCTCAAGAGACTTATTTGATTGACCCACTCCAAAGAGCTGCAATATACGCCCAACAACCAACCCCTCAACAATACCAAACTCAACAACCAACCCCTTAACAATACCAAACCCAACCACAATGTCAACCCACTCAAACCCAACAACCATACACCACCTCATTCAACCAAACTCGTAATCAATTCATGCCACACACAACCACAATACCAAGAGCATGACCCGCCCCACCACCAACAATATACACCATCCTCATCCTACCACAACATCCAAGACACATATGGTACATCTTCTTCCTACCATACCACTCAACCTACATACAGTCAAACATCATACCATCGAAGTACCCAACCATCATACGTATTTCATACACCACAAGAATCGTTGCTTTGTTTTCATCACGATTCAACATCTCAATACTATCAACCACCCCACCACCCACACATATCCCAACCAACAAGACCAAACTTCAACAATATGGGCACCGATCTCTTTGAAAGCACCGCACAGTGGGGCAAAATGATCGATGAGATGTATGATCCTGATATACCAGGACCATCACATCAAGAACCTCATAATCAAGCAAGTCAGAACAAACCACAAACACCTCAGAAAAATCAACAGAGAGGAGTGAGACAAGGGGCGAGGCAAATGCGCAACCGTTTATATCATACGGGGACCCGCTTAGGTTGAGGGGATGTCCAAAAAAAATGTATCCATGCATTGTGTAATATTAAATATTAATACAAAATATTTTTAGTTTTTTTTTAATTTTTAATTTTAAAAAAAATTGCAATAACACTGTCAAGCCAAGGAGGGTGGCGCCTCCTCTCAAAAACACATGCATGCGCCACACTGCATGACATTATAGAGGAGGACAAGCCATGCAGTGTGGCACCTCCTCTTTAAATTGAGTGCATGCGCCACACAGAGTGAATACTCCTCTGTGTGACAAATTTTTTTTGTTTGAAAAATGATCATTTTGATAAAAATTTTGAAAAATTAATTATTTGAATTTTTTTTAAAAAAAAATAGTTATTTAAAAAAAAACTATACTTGCTAGTGTTCTTATAAACTTAGGATCACAAATATATATTATAACTTTAATATATAAATTAGCTTCAAATGTTATTTTATAATATTCAAATTATTTTTAAAAACAAATATATATACATAAGTTAGCAAATGTTATAATGGAGTATTTAAATTATTTTTAAAGACAACAATATATATAAATTATTATTTTAATATTTATTTTAATTAATAAAAATAATATATTTATAAATTAGTACTATAATACATAGAATTATAAAAAATCATATATTTAGTAATATATGTATATATGATTGTGTTATTAGGGTTCAACGTTTTCACCTCTCCAAAACCCCCAAATGAATCTCCTCCCTACATCTCAGTCTCGGCGTACTCCTACGGCGTCGGTGTCACCGATATCCCTCCCGGATGAACTGATTGCGGAAGTACTCTCATGTCTTACCGTAAGGCCACTGATGCGAATGAGGTGTGTGTCTAAGCCATGGAACTCTCTCATCTCCGATCCCACTTTCATCAAATTACACCTTCATCGAACTTCACAAAATGCAGATTTCACGCTTGTATACAAATCATGTCCCTATTCCGTATCCTTCACCGTTATTCGTTTATTCGAAAACCCTCCTAACTTTTTCTGCTTTCCCTGCTATCAATTCGTAGAGGAACAATTAGTTGGTTCATGCAATGGATTGCTATGTTTGGTAGCCTATTCTCGCGTTTATCGGAATATTCAGAGTTGGTTTCGCTTTTGGAATCCGGCCACCGGGAAAATATCACAAAGGTTAGGTTTTCTTTTGAATGATCAAACTATCCCTCCTCGTTTCACCTTTGGTTGCGATAAATCAAACAACACATATAAGGTGTTGGCTTTAATGCACACTAAAGTTAGAGTGTTCAGCTTGCAAGACAACGCTTGGAGTATTATTCAAAATCCTCCTATGCCTCGTATTTGCTCGATGAATGCTGTGTATCTGAGTGGTAGTGTTAATTGGTTGGCATGTCATGGAGTCTCAATTAGATATCCGCAGTTTGTGATTGTTTCATTTGATTTGGGGGCAGAGACACATACTCAATTTCAGTCTCCTCCAGGTTTTGATCAACTGCCATCTGTTCATGCACCAAATCTAACTGTGTTAAAAGACTGTCTTTGTTTTTGTCACGATTTCAAACAAACTCATTTTGTTATATGGCTAATGAACAAAATTGGAGTGGAAGATTCTTGGACTCAATTTTTCAAAATTAGTTATCATAATCTTCAAATAGATCCATTTGAAGATTTAGTATCTTTTTTAATTCCAATATGTGTCTCGGAGAAGAATGATACACTATTATTGGCAAACGAAGATAGAAAAGTAACGATTCTCTATAACTGGAGAGAGAATAGAATAGCCCTTGGCCCTTGGTGGTGCACTCGCTTGAATTATGTTGAAAGCTTGGTATCTCATTGTTGAAAGTAAGTTTTTCTACCACAATTTACTTGTCTCAAATTGATTTACTTGTGTGATCATTTTCTCATGACAATTTTGATTGTATTGTCGAGTGATGGTGTTTAATGGTTTGACAACTTTTGAGTCAAACGAATTCATTTCACTCTTTTATGTTAAAAGATGAATTTTCTTAAGGTAATTCTCCCAAAAGGTTAAGCATTTTTTCTTGATAGCCTTTTATACAAAACTTAAGCATGACATAGTCTTCAGCATGGGAGCATAATACATTATTAAAATTGAAAGCAAAAAGCAGGAAACTATTTAAGGAGAAGTGGTTTATATCAGTAGACTTTGACAGTTTTTTTATAGATTTGTCCTAAATTTAAGTATGAAGTTATTTTTGCAAATTAATATATGTTCTCTTGTTCAGACTTGTTCAACAGGTTCTTGTTTCATTTTGATGCAATTCCAACATGGCCCAAATGCACGTCGATGCCTCCATGCCAAGTTTGTTTCATCATTACCTGGAAGAAAACGTCATTTACAATCCATTTAGAAGTAATACCTCTCCTATTATATTTTACTAGACTAGAGTTTGGATTTTATATAGGAAGTCTTCTCTAATTCCAGTTCTCTTTGCATTTCAGCAACAATCTATATTTTGTCTCTGTTTAGTCTTTGAATTTCGTAGTTACTAATAATATTGATGCTTTGTTTTCTTTTAAAGTATAGTTAGTATTTTTGCTATATATGGTTATGATATTAAGTTTGTTGTCATGTTGAAGTTATGCTTTTATTTGTTTTGTTGCAAAAACGAAATTTTTGATTAAGGTTTTGAAATTAGGGGTGTTCATGGTTCATGAACTGCACCAAACATCGGTTCAATTTATAATAATCATTTCAATAAAAATTCAATTAACTCCTAAAATAGTTTCAACTCAATTTAAAACCAATTTATATCTATAAAATAGTTTATAACCAGTTTGCAATTTTAAATCAATTTTATATTTTAAACTCTTAAAATTAATTTTTTAATTTCATAAAAAATTTAAAATTTGTATATTAAAATAGATTTTTTTTTTCCACATTTTTTCAAGAAAAAATTATGAATATTTTTTCAGGATATTTTTTATTTTATTTTCAGTTTTATTTCATAATTTTTATTTACATTTTCAAGAAAAAAAATTAGTGATTTTTAAGGTGATGATGGTTCAACTAAATCTCTCATGTTCTAGTACACCAAGTTCACCAATTGATATTTTTAATGAATAAGATTTATCAAAAATTAACACCTCTAGCTTCCTTTGTAAAGTTTTTTTGCCACGATCTTGACATAATAATATGTACATAATAATATGTACACTATCAATATGGTTGTAATAGTGTAGGATTTATTTTCTGTATTTTTATTACTTTTATACAAATGTTAGTAAAATAGGGTATGTATGACAAGATAAAAACAACAAGTAGATAACCCCTAATCAAAAATTAAATGCATATAAATCAAACACATTTTTCACACATGCACCCTTAGGGTAATTTCACTTGTTGTCTTGGAAAATAGTCATGTCTCTCGAATATGGGCGTTTTAGCAAAGACCCTTGATAAAAGATCGTAGTCCCTCGATGACCTCAATGTTGCATTCGGTAAATGATCTAGTCCCTAAACGACATTGCTAAAATGACTTATAGGTTGCCTTCTATGACTATACAAACGTCTCACGCCTGTCCCTTCACATCTAACGATGGAGCTTCTTACCAAATCAATGGTAAGATAGTAACATCTAAAGGAGGAGGAAAAGAACAGTAAAGACTTTTGAGTAGGTAGGTTGCTCCTAGTTGTTCGCTTCTCATAACAAAAACATTTTATACACCAACACTTTCATTTTGGAACATTTTCAAAAGACAACACTCTTATGCGTTCTTATAGAGACGAGAATCATTACAAAGACACCTTTTTAAAATCACTTTAAAAAACAAACACTTCTTTGAACTATTTTCCAAACAACACTTTGTATGCGTTCTTATTGAGACGAGAATCATTACAAAGGCACGTTTTCAAAATACTTTCAAAATCACACCATAAAGCACATTTTTAAATAAAAGCAAGTAATCTAGCAAGCAACTAAGAGCCCATAGATAACTATGGATGAAATGGGTTCTAACACCTTCCCTTTTCATAATCTACCCCCCGAACTCAAGAAATAATCTCGAAAGCTCTTTCCCGTTCTTTTCAGTCTTTCCTTATTGGATAAAAGAAAAGTCAGTGACGACTCTTGCTATCCGCAATAATTGCGATCAAACACAAAACACACAAGTCAGTTCTCCCACCGTGTTACAATCCCCTAGTTTTATTATTATAAAATAATTCGCACCCCCTTACTAATTTATTTTATTTATTATTTTCTTTTATAAATTCATTTGTATATATTTTTTTTTTTATATTTTTTTTTTGTAATTATATATATTTATATTTATATTTTAATAATTATAATGTTATATGTTATTCATTATTATAAATAATTGATTATTTTAGGCTTAATTAAAATATAATATTACTTATTTACGTCAAATCACATCTCTAAATTATTACTTAAAAAACATTTCTCGCAACATAATTTAATTTAATATTTTATATCAAAATACTAAAATCCGCGTAGCTCATCAAATTACTATGTCCGCGAGTGACACGTGACCAATATTTGGCCACGTGATAAGGAGACTATGTCAGACTCCTTCGTTCTACGTCTTAAATACTCAAGCCAAACACCAAATCTTTTTTCACAAATTAAATTAATTCAAACAACTAATTTTCGAAAGGAATACAAATATATTTAAGTTAACTGTGTATTTGGTCTAACAAACTCAGTTATTCCTACTCTTAGACCACATACGCGGGAAACTCAAAATATATTTCACAATCCATAAAAAAACAAACAAACCACGAATTACGAAATGGTACTCTGATTCATCCTAAGAGGATACGTAGCCATGCGATTAAAATCGTGGTGAGTTCTTGCTAACTAAAATTCAAACCCTTTTCCCAAATAAATGATTAAAACCCTATTTCCTAAGAACACGCTTCTAAACTTAGTATCCTTGCAAACAAGGTAGAGGAGGGATGCCTAACACCTTCCCCTCGTCTAGAACCGAGTCCAAACCTAGAATCTCGAAATTTCTTTTAGGGTTATTCCTTTATACTCCCTTCCTTTAGGATAAAAATTAAGGGTGGCGACTCTATAAAAAAAAACAATTGCAACAACTGGCGACTCTGCTGGGAACTCCTAGGTTTAGAAGCCTTGTCCTTTAGTTTTAGGGGTTTTAAGGGTTTCTTATATTTATTTAATTATTGTTTATTTATTTTATTTGTTTACTTATTTATTTTCTTGCTTATTCTTATTATTCATTATATTTATATGTTTGTAGCGGGACTTTAATTTTTGCAAAATATTTTTAAATAAACCTTAGAAAAAAGGTTTGTCTATTAGTCAAGGGGATAGATCATCCCTATGAGTTTATGTGACGACTTCGCCTAGAGTCGGTGAAATTCCGCAAAAGAAATACGTCTCAAGAAACATCATCTTGGGAATTAGGACTTTGGAATGACGCCTATGGCTCTTTGTATAAACCTCAAACTAAAATCTCATGATGAGACCTTTCACGACCTAGAGACGAAAGTTTCAGTCTGCAAAGAGACTCCACTTAAGGGCGGCCCTGGTGCCTTTCCCTTTAGTGTTATTCATGATACCCTTAAGGAAACCACCTTATGGGGAGGGTATAATATCCATAAAACCAAGCTAAGAGCCTACCTTCTAAAGGTTACTATTCACTTAATCCCGTCATTTAACCTTTTACTCATATATTCATGCATCTCTACATTTCACATGTTCATCATACATTATTTGCTTTTGTTTGTCTTATTCACAGGGTACAAAGGAATATATAAAAATAAAGAGTAACGATTTTTTGTGAGTATCTTGAAATGAATGCTAAAGGAAAAAAGCTTATTTGTATCAATGCTGCCAAGCCAGATTTGACTCAAATCAAAGCTGTAAAGGAAAGATTATCTGAAAGGGTCATGAAAACATTTACTCGTCGCCATGGGGATATTTTAGATTTAACTAAAGTCAAAGTACAATTGGACGCTATTTCTGCTCTAGTTCATTTCTATGATCCTCCGCTGAGATGCTTCACATTCCAAGATTTCCAATTAGCTTCGACTTCAGAGGAATTGGATAGAATTCTAAACTTCTCCAAAGAGAAGGCTTACACGGGTATTGGACAAACCGTTGATATTAAAATACTGGACGAAGGTTTGAGAATCCCTTATCCTGAGTTTTCTCTTAATTATAAGAAAGAAGGAGAACTTCAAGGGATTAAAAGGTGTTATCTGGAGAGTAAAGCTCTTGATTTGGAAAATAACAAATAATGGGAATCTTGTGTCGACTGTCTTGGGAATCCCATTTCGTACTGTCGGATCAGTGACATAGAACACTTGTTTAACTTGAGAGGCTAGAATAAAAGACTCATCTTTGTACTCCACCCTAATAAGATCCACTTGTAAAAATCCCAACTTATCCATTCGTATGCCACTAAAATGTACCCACTTGCAACCAAAGATAGGAATATGAAACTTCTCATAATCAAACACCCAAATGTGCTCGATAACCCCAAAATATGACAGATTTGCATATTTGGGGTTTAAGTCATTCATACTTGAAATGTGCATTGCTTCGACTACAACTGTGACACCACTATTTTGTATAGTACTTTTATCATCTTGTTCTTTGGTATAAAATGTGTATCAATTAATTGCGTATGTGCTATAAGAAAATACGAGCAAACTCGGACCATATGCTAAACATCTCAACCTTTCTGTTATTGAAGCGAGATCTAAATCAAACTTTGAATAAATATGATCCTTGAACCATTGCATAAAACTTTGATTATACTCTCGTACTATCCAATTTTCATTTCTATTCAGATTTAAACCCTATAGTACATTCTTGTGAATTTCAACATACG